TTGGCTTTTTAAAAATGCACAATATGCAAGCTTTTAATTGTTAACAGTTATTTAGTAATTCTGTACTTGTTTAGTTGACTGATACTTGCCATTTTCCCAAGTTTCTTGTTTTGGCCAAGATTCTGGCAATAATCCATACTTGAAATCATTTGAAGCACCTGGTATCAATCCATACTTGAAATCATTTGAAGTACCTGGTATCAATCCATACTTGAAATCATTTGAAGGACCAGGCATCAAACCATACTTGAAATCATGTGAAGTACCTAGTACAAGTAAGAATTCTGAATTAATAATGGTAATAGGTATCTGTCTCTTCATTAGAGTCAGAAAACTATCCTATGAGCATTTTAACTTCATAATGAGTTAAATAAAACTGTATTTTAGTCTAACATTGAGAAGTCTTCCTACTTTATTATCACAATAAAACAAAATACTATTCAACTATAGAAGAAATTCAGTTAAAAAACAAATCCTGAACCAGGCACAGTGGCTCATGTATGTAATCCCAGCACTTTGGGAGGCTAAGGCAGAAGGATCGCTTGAGCCCAGGAGTTTGCAACCAGCCTGGGCAACAATGGAGAGAAACTCCACCTCCATCTATACAAACTTTTTTTTTTTTTAATTAGCTGGATATGGTGGTATGCTCTCTAAGTCCCAGCTACTTGGGACAATCATTTGAGCCCAGCGGTTGCAGTGATTCAAGATCATGCCTGCCCTTTTGCCTGGGTGACATAGTGGCACCCTGACTCAAAAAAATAAGAAGTGGGGGGAGAGAAAGTAACATGAATATCATTTAATCATGTAGATGCCACAAGAAATTACCCTTTTAAAGGATGGGTATATTCATACCATAACTCCTAAGAGTTGCTTTTTCTGACTATCATTCGAGATTTTATCACCCTGAAGATCAGCTGTCAAATAGGATATTCTCCTTATTACAAACCCAGGATAGGCACATAATTTTAAGATTAATTGGTTCAGAAAAACAGACTGGGAATAAAGCATACATACAGGATAATTACAAATTTAAAGTTCTATTACTAGATCCTTGTTGTCTCAGACATATTAGGGCAAGGTAACTGAATGCTTTCAGTATTCGGTAAAATATTCTTCTTTTTTTCTAACTCCATCCTTATATGAAATAATATGCAGAAAATAGAATGAAAATAGAATAATGGATGTCCCTAAGGATCTTCAGATTAGCAAGGGTAGGAATCATATCCACTGAATTTAACTCCATCTTTAATGTAATTCGTTGGACCAGGAATGTTTTGGCAATAGGAATATATCCAGACTCCTCCACAACTATTGCCACCCTGATCCAATCAATCATGGGCTCTACTCCCTGGACTGTTTTCAGTAGCCACCACCAACTTATCTCCCTGCTCTGTTCTCAGCAGAGAAGTCACAGATTCTTTTAAAACACTACCTTAAGGCAGGTCACCACTCAGCTTACAAGGCTACAAAGACTACCCACCTCAAAGTAAAAGGTGGAAGACCTCCAAAGCCTCACTTGGTGGAACTATGACTTCCGATCACCCTTTCAGTCACTCCATTCCAACCATACTGACCTCTGTGCTAGTCCTCCATGATAAACATGCTCCCAATTCAAAGCATTTATGTTTTTCTCTGCCTGAAACACTCCTTGCCAGGACATATGCATAGTTCACTCAAGCAGCAATAACCCATTTTTCCTCCCGTGGGCATAATGGTTTTAAAGGTAAAAGAATGTTTACCCAAATGGATTTCCTAAGAATCATTTCACATACATGTTCCCAGACAAGTTGTTCCTCTTAAAAATTAAGAAAACTTAAGAGTCCTGCCAGGCGCGGTGGCTCACACCTGTAATCCCTGCACTTTGGGAGGCCGAGGGCGGCAGATCACAAGGTCAAAAGATTGACACCATCCTGGCCAACATGGTGATACTCCATCTCTACTAAAAATACAAAAATTACCTGGGCATGGTGTTGCACGCCTGTTGTCCCAGCTACTGGGGAGGTTGAAGCAGGAGAATCGCTTGAACCCGTGAGGCAGAGTTTGCAGCGAGCACAGATCACACCACTGCACTCCAGCCTGGTGACAGAGCAAGACTCCGTCTCACAAAGATTCTGGCTGGTCTGATGGTAGTGGGTTATCAGAACTTATTAACATTAGTGTCACTAAATTTGGTATACAACCCCCCACTGCTAAATTCGACTGGCTTTAAAAAAAAAAAAAAGATTCCTTTTTGGTGAAAGTCTTAATACCCAACAAAGTAAAAATGCCTCTAAAGTATTTTAAAACTGTCCATCAGAGGCTGGGCGCGGTGGCTCACGCCTGTAATCCTAGCAACAAGGTGGGTGGATTACCTGAGGTTGGGAGTTTGAGACCAGTCTGACAAATATGGAGAAATCATCTCTACTACAAAAAAATACAAAATTAGTTGGGCATGGTGGCACATGCCTGTAATCCTAGCTCCTTGGGAGGCTGAGGCAGGAAAATGGCTTGAGCCCGAGAGGCAGAGGCTGGGGTGAGCCAAGATGGTGCCATTGTACTCCACTCCAGCCTGGGCAACAAGAGCGAAACTCCATTTTTAAAAAAAGCATATCATTATTATTACCGTAAACGGTATTGTACTTGGAATACATTCACCACTTTGATGTAAAGAAGGCCTCCTGAACCCATAGTAACATGTAATTCAACTACAGCTCATTATAGTTGCACCTAATTAGTGTTTGGGAGTAAGTACTAAGAATCCTAAATTTCTGTGGGTGGGATAAAGAATGGGATGGAGGTGGTAGCCTGTGGAGGTCAACCTACTTTTAGTTTCACAATTCTAAATAAAGTTTCAATTTTATGATTCATATTTCTTGTCTCAATCAGTACAAAGCTAAACTCCAAGAGAGCAAGAACTGTGCTTATCTTCCTCGCCTCTGTTTTTCTATTGTCTAAGACATATATGCTGCTCTCCAATTACTTGTGGAATAAATGTTATCTAGAAAATGCCAATATGTACTTCTGACTTGCTCAAAATATTTAGAAAACGAGTATCAAAAGACATGTTAGATGTTCTAATATCTACAATTAAATATTATTCACAATATCTAAGAGTAAGGAAATAGGCCAGGCACAGTGTCTCGTGCCTATCATCCCAGTACTTCTAGAGGCTGAGGTGGGAGGACAGCTTGAGCCCATGAGGTTCAGACTAGCCTGGGTGTCACAGCGAGGCCCCATCTCAACAGAAAAAGGAAACAGAATATCCCTAAAACAATTCATAAACTGAAAATCCAAGATTCAACATCCATCATTCCAAAGAATGGATAGAATTCATTCCTTGGTATTCATTCCACTCTATCGAGAATACAAAATGGTAATTCAAATTAAATAAACCTTGCCCCAAATTTCACCTCTCCTGATTATTTTAACAGAGAATACTTGTAAGAATTACAAGAGTAATTCTTACTCTTGAATAAAGGTACTATCGTTGTAACTCAATACACTTAAGAATCGTTAAGGTCATTATAGATCTACTTCAAAATGGAGCTTACTGATTGATCAGTAATATCCTTCTTGGGTACATTATTCCCTAGTAGCAAACTAAGGAAAAAGCAATATAGGTTTTTAACATCAAAGTCATAAAGCAAAGGCTGAACTCAGATGCAAAATACTAATGGATAAAAATGTCCCCTTTAAGAGCAATAACTCTCTATCAAAGGTTTACAGGTTTAAATTTTTACATATTAATTCACACACCCCTAATTAAACCCATTCTTGGACTAGATTTCTAAACCAAGAAAGCAAGTACATCAGCAATTTTCTGTGCAAGCAAAAATCTTTAAAACTCAGGCCAGGAGCGGTGGCTGATGCCTGTAATTTCAGCACTTTGGAGAGGCGGGCGGATCACCTGAGGTCAGGAGTTCAAGACTAGCCTGGCCAACATGGTGAAACCCTGTCTTATTTAAAAAAATAAATAAAAATAAAATCTTTAAAATTCAACACATCTGACGTACAAACTGCTAATTTCAAAACTTATTTTGTAAATTAAACAGTCAGGGGCAAGCACCTTAAGGCAGTTTCTTCAGAAATGGCTTTATTTTGGTCAGTACATACTGAATTCAGAGCCCATGAATACTTTTAAGAAGCGCTTTGTCTCTGTTCTCATCAACTTTGAAAAGAATTCCAGAGCTAATAACACTGAAACAATCAATAAATATCCATATCTATCTTCAACAAACACTAGTTGTCACCTTTTTATGTACACACATACAAGCTTTCTATGCACTATTTGAAAACATACACGCTCATAACTTCAAGCCTAAATGCATCTTCTAGAAAACACTGGTAGATAACCACAGTACAACTGATTATCACTTAACACATATTATAATTTCCAGCTGTCCCCAAAATGTCCCCTGTAAACATGTTTTGATCCCATGATCTCCATGCTGCACTTTACTTGATCTCCTTTATCTAGTCATGCCCCCACTTGCCTATTACCATTAACATTTCAGAGTTGGGACAGGTTTGGTCTACCTGTTGTATACATCCACGTCTGGATTTTCCTTTGTCATCAGACACAGGCTAAACAATTTCTCAAGAATACTGCATAAGAAATGCTGTGTGCCAGGCAGTACATCAAATAAGCCAGCCTTTAATTTTAGTTTGTTCTATTATTAATGATGCTAAGTTTAATCACTTGGTTATGACAATCTTCCTCAGATCTCCTTACTGTAAATTTACCTTTTTCCCCTTTGCAAGTGGAAATCATCTATGGGAATGCTAATTTGAGCCCATGTGAATATGATATTCCCCAACAACTTTTCACCCAATCATAGGAGGACAAGCCCATTAACAGTGGCTTAACATCCACTGATGATTTTGAATTATTTCCTGTGGGGGTTGTGAAATAGGCATTTTTCCAATTCGATAATTTTTCTTAGGCTTGGCATTCTTTCATAAAGAAGGACCTCCTCCCTTTTACTCTATTTTATTCATAAGATATTCGTGGATTCTTTTTCTTTATAGTCATCAAGCTTCCTCCAATATACTGCTCATAACACACAGAACTAATCAACATTTTCTATAACCATTAACTACATCATTCTGCATAAAAATTAAAATAAATTCAACCATTATCATAATTACCATTTCCGTTCCATATCTATATATCAGTAGGAAGCCGTAAGACATATTAACTCAATTACTTCTTATATGTAAGAGTTTTTAAACCTAAATAAATGACTGTCTCAAACACGCAGAACCAGAAACATCATTTACATTTACCAATTTTCCAAAGTCATCATAAACATATCTACCATAGATTGAAGGTATTCATACATAATAGAACCTTCTTTTTTTTGTTTTTGTTTTAAAGACAGGGTTTCACCATGTTGGTCAGGTTGGTCTTGAACTCCTGACCTCAGGTGATCCACCCGCCTTGGCCTCCAAAGTGCTTGGATTACAGGCGTGAGCCACCACGCCTGGCCTATAATAGAACCTTCTTAAGGGAGAGAGATTACAGTAGGCTACAGGTAAGATGTAACACACTTCCCAATCTTTAAGGTACTGTTGTTAAAATCTTACTGTACCTACCAGCATCACCTCCATCTTGACTAGTGCCAGCTTCAGTCAATAAATTTGCACTCACATTCCTATCAACATCTGGCCCCGAGAGTAGAGCACCATCTAAATCTGAAAAGGAGACAGAAAAATTTATCTACAAACCACACCATAGCCACCACCCAAAACACCACTCTTTCTTGGAATATATATATATATATTTTTTAATTGAGACGAAGTTTCACCATATTGGCCAGGGTAGGTTTGTCTCGAACTCCTGACCTTGTGATCCACCTACCTTGCCTCCCAAAGTGCTGGGATTACAGGCGTGATCCACCATGCCTGGCCTTGGAAGTGTTTCTTTAATAAAAAGTACCATCTGTAAGTACTAAATTACCTACTGTGTTCAATACAACAAGGCTCACAGAAGCCTAAGACATGTACAGTAAGTATAGTGTACTGGTTAGGAATGGGCTGTAGAACCAGGGTGAATTAGGTGCCACTCCTATTTCTGTTACAGGCTATATGACCATGTGCCTTAGTTTCTCCCTAATTTACATCCAACGATATCATAGATGTAATCTAGGAATCTAATTGGATAATATAAAAAGCCAAGTGTAACAATTATGGTACTTGACGCTCAAAACACTACTAGTACTAACTAGTAAGTATTAGAGGTATAAAACACATTGTTGGTATATCTGTATTGGTTCAAGTGGAGAAGACCAATTAAAGCTAGAATTGCTAGGCTGGAAGTGGTCGCTCACACCTATAATTCCAGCACTTTGGGAAGCTGAGGTAGGCAGGTCACTTGAGGCCAGGAGTTCCAGGTCAGCCTGGCTGACATGAAAAAACCACATCTCTGAAAAAACACAAAACTCAGCCAGGTGTGGTGATACACACCTGTAGTCTCAGCTACTTGGAAGGCTTAGATGGGAGGATTCACCTGAGCCTGGGAGGCAGATGCTACAGAGAGCTGAAATCCACACCACTGCACTCCAGCCTGGGGCAACAGAATGAGACCCAGTCTCAAAAAAACAAGTTTGAATGTCAGAATACAGAATACAGATGGCAAATAAAACCATGGGGATGAACGGATGTGACAGTGAGAAAAGACTAAGTATACTGAAGAATCCTAGCATTTAATGAGCTACAAAAAAACACGGAAAAAACTTTTAAGGGAAAAGTAGTCCCCTTTGTCAATGCTTCCAAGTCTACTTTGTCAATTCAAGAATCTTGCTGAACAATGCTAGTGAGGAGGTAGGGCAAGCAGGAACAGTAAGAGTGGTCGGTGTTGTGAAGAGATGATCAATTAAGAAAAGAATCTTTGAGAAATCTAGCAAAAAAAAAGTAAGTATGAGAAATAGGGTAACGATTTTTTTTAAGAAAGTGAAAGTTCCTTATTTTTGAGGCAGGGTCTCCCTCTGTCACCCAGGCTGGAGTCCAGTGGCACAATCTCAGCTCACTGCAACCTCTGCCTCCCAAGTTCAACCAATCCTCCCACATCGGCCTCCCGAACTGCTGATACTATAGGTGCACACCACCACACCTTGCTAAATTTTTTTTGTAGAGACAGGGTCTCACCATGTTGCCCATGCTGATCTTGAATGCCTGAGCTCAAACAATCCTCCTGCCTTGGGTTCCCAAAGTGCTGGGATTACAGGCATGAACTCCAACACCCGGCCAAAAGTTACGTATTTAAATACTGACAGGAAGGAATCACCGAAGGGAGAAGTTAAAGACACTGAAGATATTGCAGTGAAGAGAAGAAATTATCCATTGTGTAAGATTCCTAAGGTTTCTTGAGTTCCGGGAGCACAAGTCTGGGTACTTAAGAGAGACAGCGGAAACCATCAGTGTAGAGTGCTAAAGTCAGAACTTAAGGATATTATACCAGGCTGTTGGCTTCTCTTCTCTATATAAAGTGAAATTACTAGAATGTGGCATTATTGCTTACAGTAAATTGGTTGCAAGTCAGAAGAATGAGCAAGTATTTAATGCAGAAAGAACAGTAAATAGATAAAGAACTCCTTTGCACAATCCTTGAGAACAGGATACTGCTTAGGTTTATTTTCCCAGTGTTCATCACAATGAATGATAAATAGAAGGCTTTTAAAAATAGTTTACCAGCCATGATGGCTCAAGCCTGTAATCCCAGCACTTTGGGAGATATATATATATATATATATATATACACATATATATTACAGTTACATGTTTACTTGAATAGTCTGTATTTTTAAACTTGTATCACTAAACAAAGTTTAGTTTTAATGGTATCTGAATAATAATTTGGTTTTTTGGTCTACAATTAAACTAAAACCTATCAGGAACTGAAAATATCAACTAAAAATTTAATGTTTTCTTAAAGTTAAATGTATTTCAATAGTCAAAAAATAAAACTGGCTGGACATGCATTAGTCCTAGCTACAGAGGCGGCTAGGACAAGAGAATGGTTGGACACCAAGAGTCCAAGGCTGCAGTGAGCTACAGCTGCACCACTACACTCCAGCCTGGGCAAGAGTGAGACCCTCTCTCAACAAAATTGAAATAAAAAGTAAGGTTGGGTACAGTGGCTCATGCCTGTAATCCCAGCACTTTGGGAGGCCAAGGCAGGTAGATGACCTGAGGTCAGGAGTTCAAGACCAGCCTGGCCAACATGATGAAACCCTGTCTCTACCAAAAATACAAAAATCAGGCAGGCGCAGTGACATGCGCCTGTAATCCCAGCTACTTGGGAGGCTGAGACAGGAGAATCACTTGAACTCAGGAGGCGGAGGTTGCAAGATCACTGCACTCCAGCCTGGGCAACAGAGCGGGACTCCATCTTCCAAAAAAAAAAAAAAAAAGAAAAGAGAAAAAGAAAAGAAAAAATGCAATTATTCAATTTTGCTAGATTTCTCAATGTTTTTTAAAAAGTCATTCTGAAATGCAGTCTGTTCAAAGGACATTTCTTACAATTCTGCCAAGTGGGTTTTCAAATACAGGTTTCTCTTTATGCAAAATTCTATACAGTGAATTGTTGAAAGCTTTCCTCAGCCAGTTCTTAACAGGCATTTCCTATCTCCTACCCTACCCCGTAAGTATATTAGAACTTGTGATTTCTAATTCTACATGAACAAGTATAGACCTCCTCAGCCAAAATCTTACAAAATAAATAGCAAGTATATTTGTCTTGTGTCTCTTGAAAGGCACCAACTACTTAGTTCTTTATATCAAAAACAAATCTCAAAACAGGTGAGTTCTCCCAAGTTGACAACCTTCTGACAATAGTGTGCTTAACATCCAGGAAGCAATGTATTATGTCACTGCTTATCTTATTCAGAACCAGCCAAACCACCTAGCAAATCATTATAAGAGATGTTGATGTGAATAGAATAGAAGCCAGACAATCAACCATTTACTCGACACAAATGAATTTTGCTTCATTAGGAGGCATGATAGCAACTCTTGGTAATCATCTTTTTCTCTAAAACTAAGAATTACAAAATAAACTCTAATACACCTGCTTTTGTGATATTCAATATCTTCCTATGGGAATCTTATGCTTCATTTATAAGCAGCAAAAAAGGACAAAGACTTCTTTGCAAACAGCACAAAACCTTTCTGAAGACTGATTCAAACATTAGTTTCTTTTCCCCTCTTCTCGCAACTGCACTTGTCTGAAGAAAAAAAAAGAACCACACACACGAACACCACACTGGTTTCACAAGATGACAGCTATTTTTCTGAATGGTAGCAGGTACAGGTGTGGTATATAATATTCAAATACACCAGAGCTAAATGATAAACCATGTAGGATTTCTTCTTTTTATTTTTTTCTTTGAGACGGAGTCTCGCTCTGTCACCACACTGGAGTGCAGTAGCGCGATCTTGGCCCACTGCAACCTCTGCCTCCCGGGTTCAAGCAATTCTCTTGCCTCAATACAGGTGTGCACCACCACACCCAGCTGAATTTAGTATTTTTAGTAGAGATGGGGTTTCACCATGCTGGCCAAGATGGTCTCAATCTTTAGACCTCATGATCCGCCCACCTCGGCCTCCCAAAGTGCTGGGATTACAGGTGTGAGCCACCACACCTGACCCAGGATTTCTTCTATTTTTAAAAAGGTCTTTTCTCAATAAACAGGTAATAGCAACCCCTATAACAGACACAAATTTTACACATTCAGCAGTAAGAGCTTTCAATTTTTTATCAGTAAGGAAAAGGGCTAAGGAAGGTTAAATAACAAGCTAGTGGCAGAGGTCTGGACTGTTTAGTAACCATATTACATTGCTTCCTGATAATTTATTGCAAGCGCCAAGCCTCAGGGCCTGGCACATAAGCAGGCAATCAAAAACTACAATTTGCAATACCGGGAACATGAGTGCAGAAGTATATTCACATGTACTTTGCTACTGATACTTGATATGCTCTTTTGGTGAAATGAACAAAAATAAACATTAATGCCACTCTGTTAAACCAGCATCCATTTTATTATATTCCTTTTACCTAACACTACATCATCTCCTTCCCTCACTGAAGTAAAAAAAAAAAAAAAGAAATACCAACTCCAAAACCTTAAGGATACCAAAGTACCAGCTATCACTGCTCTTTACAGTTACACTTTTTGTCTACTTTAAAGCAATCTCTTCGTTAGAATTCACATTTATAAACTTCTCTAATTAACCATGTATTGCAATTTTAGTTAATATCTTCATGAGAGGTATTATTCATGAAAGGACAGTTACGGTGGCTCATGCCTGTGATCCCAGTACTCTGGGAGGTAGCCAAGGTAGGAGGATCCCTTGAGCCCATTTGAGTTCAAGGCTGCAGCGAGCTATGATCACGTCACTGCACTCCCTTCATGGGTGAAAGAGCAAGACCCTGTCTCCTTAAAAAAAAAAAAAAAAAAATGAAAATATTACCATAGATTAAAAAAAATCTGATTAACAAGCAGTTGAAAAAGAATGAGATGGGATTAAAGACTGGTCTAAATCTCAGTCTCTACCTCCAAAAAATGTGCCGGTGACCAATGACATTAGTA